ATTCAAGATGTTCAGCCTCCAATTTTATAACAAAATTTAAAAATTTCGAGAATAATTTTTTGATTTCTTTTTTGATTTAAATAAAAGAATTCGGTAATTTTATATGGCATGGATGAAGAAAAAAGTCCAATATCAATAGAAATTGAAGAGGACTCCAAAAATGATAAAGAACCAAAAGATATCCAACCAACATCCAAAGAATGGAAGAGTCTCCGTAAAGTTTCGGATAAAATTCCTATAGGTAAAGAAATATTAAATTTATAATTTCTTATTTATTTATTTATTTATTTATTGTAATTGTATATGATTTATTATATTTATAATTTATAATTTATAATTTATTAGTTTTTGGCTTCTTATTTATACTTTTATTATTATTATTATTATTATTATTTATTATATTTATAATTTCTTATTTATATTTTTATTATTTAAGCTGTATGGTTTGTAGTAGTCTGTGAACTTTGTGAACGTTTTACCTATTATGGTGTTTCAGGACCATTTCAAAATTATGTACAATTTCCGGAACGAACGGAAGTTGATGGTCAAGCCGGAGCAATTGGTGCTGGTCAACAAGTGGCAACTTCATTGTCATATTTTTTTCAATTCTTTTGTTATATAACCCCAATTTTCGGTGCAATTTTAGCTGATAAATATTTTGGAAGATATAAGACAATTTTAATATTTTCTTTGATCTACGTATTAGGTTTAATTATATTAACTGTAACAGCAATCCCTCCAGCTATAAAAGCACATTATTCTTTACCAGGATTAATTGTAGCTATGGTAATTATTGGATTAGGAACAGGTGGAATTAAACCAAATGTTTCTCCTTTGTCAGCTGATCAATACACCAAAACTCAAGCATTTATTAAAATTTTAAAATCGGGGGAAAGAGTAATCGTCGATCCACAAATTACTTTACAATCAATTTTTCATTATTTCTATTTAGCAATTAATGTTGGATCACTTTCAGTTATTCTCACTACAAATTTCGAAAAATATTTTTCTTATTGGTTGACATACCTTATTCCACTTATAATGTTTATGATTGCTATTTTTGTTTTAATCTTTGGTAGACATAAATATGTTAAAAAACCACCCGAAGGATCGGCTATATTCGATTTTTCATATGTAATTTGGATAGCTTTTATTAACGGAAGAGATTTAGAAAATGCAAAACCATCAAATATGTCAAAAGAAGAATTACAAAAGAGAAATATTACATGGAATGATGAATTCGTGGATCAATCAAGAGATGGTTTACGAGCGATAAAAGCTTTCGCTTTCTTTCCATTTTATTGGGTTGCTTATAACCAAATGTATAACAATTTAGTATCACAAGCTGCTACCATGGATGTAGGATCAATACCAAATGATATTATGTATAATATTGACACTATAACTGTAATTATATTGACACCTTTTGCAAATAGTATTTTGTAAGTATAAATATATTCTAAATTATCAAATATTTGTTTTAATTTTATTTTTTTAAATCTTTTTGTTTTTTAAAATTATTTAAAGATATCCAGTATTACAAAGATTTGGAATAAATCTTGGATTTTTAATAAAATTTCTATGGGGATTTATATTTGTTTCTGCAGCCATGTTTTATTCTGCATACGTTCAACAAATTATTTATAATGCTTCACCAGGGTTAATTTCTGTGTGGGTACAAACCCCTGCTTTTGTTTTAATTGGATTGTCAGAAGGTATATTTTTTTTTGTAATTATATAGATTACTTTTTTAAAAAACTTTTCTTCTCAACGTTTTTTATTTTCAATAACAGTTTTATTAGGCATTACAGCATTGAATTATTCTTATTATATGGTATCTATCATTGAAGAAAATAAAAATAAAATTATGAAGTTTATTTATTTATATATATATTTATTTAAATTTTATTTATATAATTTTCCTTTTTTTATTCAAAGGCACCTGACCCATTGAAATCCACCATAACAGCTGTTTATTTGACAGCAATTGGATTTGGCAATCTGATAGGTAATAGATTGTTATTACTCTTTGTTGTTATTATTTCGTATAAAACATACTGAATTTATTTATTTGTATTTGTTATTATAATTATACAAATTTAGGACTAGCGATTGTACCAATTGCTAAGGATCCATATCTTGTTCATATGTATTTAGCTTTAGGAATAATATCAATAATTGCCGGATTTTCATTGTATTGGTTTTTTGGAGATATAGATGACAAAATGAATCAAAGAAAGGTTCAAAATTAGATAAAATTTGAATATATACTATGTACATATTTTTATAATTAAAAATTTAAGAAATTATGATTGATTGTTTTTTTTTTTATTATTATCATGTAAAAATACAAAATTTCTGGTTAAAATTATTTTTAAAAATAATATTTATTATCATGCAAAAAACTTGTATCATTATTTTCCATCAATTCTTATTTATGTCATAAAAAATTGTCTGTTGTACATTATACAAATCAATGGCAACCCCGGGAGGTTTGAGTAAGGACTGGAAAAGAAGGAAAAGGAGTAGGACACCCTGCGTAGGTACAATCACAGTCAATTGTAAACCATTCCTTTCCAGGGTCTGAACAAAAAATTATTAGAGCACAAACTCAATCTACGCACAAATCGGCTTAGCCTATTTGAGTATCATCTACAAACCATTTGATTTTGTCACATAAAATAAGAAAATATTTTTTGATGCACACACACAAACTGTATGTAATTTACAGAACATTTATATAAACAAAAATAATAATAAATGTATCTTTAGATTACTAGAAGGTTGAAGATTAGCTTATTAACAAATTTAGTTGTTTTAACTGTTGTAGTAACTTAATTATTTCTTTATTACTGTATTGCAGGCTTAAAGAAAGTTAATATCTGGATTGTAGACACTAATTTTTAAAGAAAGTTTATTTATTGTAAAAAAAAATAAATGTTCTCACATTAAAAGATTAATATTGATATTATAATTATCAAATGTAATAAATGATACTTTTTTTTTTTGAAATGTCATATAAAGTGAAATAAATGTATTTGGTGAAGCCAAATCAGTCCATATATCTCCCTGCCTATTTGCAAATCATCTACAAATCTCCCTGTTCATGTGAGCAACATGTCAATTGTGAAATGACTTGATATTTACATCTTGGGCTAGTTCGAATGTTGTAGCGTTTGGTCACATCTTCACAATGGTTTGGAACAAGCCAAAAGTTATTGATCTTGT